AGCAGATCTAGTTTTGGAAGAAGGAGCGTGGTGTAAAAGTTTGAACATTGGATCAGGACGCTGAAGAGGACGGTTCAAATTTCCACTTGGTCATGAAACCCACTGGGTGACCTTGGGCAAGTCCCATTCTCGCAATGAGAATGGCAATGGCAAATCCCCTCTGAAGAAACTAACCAAGAAAAACTCTGCAATAGGTTCATTTTGGGGTCACCATACGTAAATCAGAAATGACTTGAAGGCACACAACACATACAATTAGCCCCTACTTGAAATTCCTGAATGCCTGAATTTAAATTCAGTTGTGGCTTAAACAACTATGTTAATAATGTGATTTAATTAGGTTTACTGAATTATGAGCTTTTAATCTTTTGATCATAATTGCATGTTTATGTCCAAGGCTTGTCCTTAATCCTAAAGGGTATACAAAGTCTAGTATTAGCATTGCAAGATCTTAACTTCTCCATACATTACTGCCCATCCCATTGAAAACCTCCATTTTTAGAAATGTAACATTTCTATTAAAAAAATCTAGTGACAATAAGGCAAGCTGCAAATCTTTGAGGAAATGCTACACCTTAGCGTCATACATTGTTTGACGCCATAATTCCTTGAGTTTAATAAAATGCAAACACCAAGATCACTGTGCAAGTCTAGCATCAATTTATACCACTCCAACCCATTGTTGTTGTTGTGTACTTTCAAATAAATAATTCCTGACTTATGGTGCTAACTAGTGTCATGTGTAGTGTGCTAGGAAACCATGGTTTCTATTCAACCCACTGTCAATGGACTTGATTTTGTGGATATATTTCATTTCTATTGACTCTTTCCAATCTTCTTTTGTGGTTTGTTGTTGTTCAACGACTGCTGCTCAGAGGTCTGAGATGCAACATCCAGGAAGATGGAAGTGTTCTGCAACTAGTTTTTTTTGTGTGTGTGTTTTTTGTTTTTTTTTGGTATCCTCATTCCTAATATCTGATTTATGTCAATTCATCCTCTGGCACAGAGACTGGCTTATTTGCTCAATGTAGAGAGCATGAAGGGCATCGTTGATAAGAGGATGATATCACATTAGACCAGGGGTAGGCAACCTTTCCCCTTTAAGGGCTGAGGGACTTCAGCTCCCAGAATCCCAAGAGCTCACATGGGCTCACCTAACATGGGACTATTGGCCAACATGGCTGAGGCTTCTGGGAACTGAAGTGCCTTGGCCCTTAAAGGGGAAAGGTTGCTTACCCCTGGTGTATATGATATTGTAATTTAATGGCATAATTTTAATTTTGCTACTTGTTTATGTCACAACTATGGCATTATGTTCAGTGATATATAAGAATTACAATTTATGAGTAACATTACTACAAAACATATTATTAGGGATTCTCATAGAATCATAGCATTATAGAGTTGGAAGAGACCACAAGGGCCATCCAGTCTAGCCCCCTGCCATGCAGGAACTCCCAATTAAAGCATTCCTGACAGATGGCCATCCAGCCTCTGCTTAAAGACCTCCAAGGAAGGAGACTCCACCACACTCTGAGGAAGTGTGTTCCACTGTCGAATAGCCCTTACTATCAGGAAGTTCTTCCTATTCTGTATGGTATGATATGGGAGGAGATCCATGGGAGGAGACACCATGAGTTTCCACACTGGGTGACACCAACCCTAGTGACGCCACTGCACCAGTCTATATCAGTGGTTCCCAAACTTCAGTTCTCCAGATATTTTTGTACTTCAACTTCCAGAATTCCTGACTGCTGGCCAAGCTGGCTGGGACTTCTGGGACCTGAAGTCCGACAAAACATCTGGAGGGCTAAGGTTTGATATAACTGGTCTATATGATATCTCTATTGATCATCTGGTGATGTCTGTACATACAGTCATCTCTTTGGTTGTCTGAAAATGTTTACAATGTACCAACTGCTGATCTCACAAAATTCAATCAGTTACTCTCCTGATTAATTACTTGCCCTGTTTTGGTGTGTTATGAATTTCCTCCTGGACTCTAGCACAGAACCTTTCAATTTCTTCTTCTGCCTCTGTACGTGAAGCATAAACTTGGATTGTGGTTATTTTGATGGGTTTTCCCTGAAGTTGTATTGATATAATTTGATCAGACTTTGAATGAATGCAAATGCAAGTAGATAAATAGGTACCACTTCAGTGGGAAGGTA